GGATATTGGTTAGATTAATTCAAATAATGGTTTCTGTAAGGGAGGGGGTGTGTGGGAGAGGGTATTGGTTACAAGAAATCATGTTGATTGAGAGGGATGGGGGATATTGTGGTTATACATTTAATATGATTTAATCATGGTGTCTGAGAGGGGAAGGAAGGAGGTGGGGGTGGAAGCTGGTTACATGAGCAGCAATACAAAGAAAAAGTAAAATACATATGTGAGGCAGCGTGATGGAATCAGGCTCTCGTCAATTTTTGAGCATATTGAGTTATTGGTATCATCTTAAAGCTTGTTCATTTGTCTTACTTTCAATGAAAAAATTACCCATCCATCTTCAATAGAAGTGGAGATATTTTGGATTGAAGGAGGTGGGGGTCACCTGGTTTAAGAGGTAAAACTAGTGAGGAAATGGCCGCCTAAGCTTGGTAAATTCCAAAGCTGGAGCGTCCATGGAAACTGTAAATTTATATTCTTTGTACGTTTAATCAACGTTTTCGGTGAAATCCTCAAAGGAATGTGTTTGTAAATGGTCATAAAAGGGGTTGAGCCAAAAAAACAAAATTTGATAAAAATTGCTAAGCAGGGAGAAAACTGCTGTTTTGTTCGATTTCATTATTTTGACGAGAGCCTGATTCCACCACGCTGCCTCACATATATGTGAAGCATCATGGTGAAATCAGGCGCTCGTCCAAATAATGAAATTGAAGAAGCATTTTTCTGCATTTGGCAATTTTTATCGAATTTTTGTTTTTCCACTCAACACCTTTTATGCCCATATAATAACATGCGAATTTTACTGAAGAATGTTCATTAAAGGCACAAAATATGTGATTTTTTAAGTTTTCAAGGACTCTCAGGCTATTGAAGGTACCAAACTTTGGCGGCTATTTTCTCGCTAATTCTACCACTGAAATCAGGCGACCCCACCTCCTTCAATGGCAAATATCCTGACTCCTATTCAAGATCGATGAGTATTTTTTTCGGTGAAAGCAAGGCAAATGAATAAGCTATTCATAATACCAATAACTCCACATGCCCAAAAATTGACAAGTGCCTGATCCCACCACGTCGTGACACATATTTTCCATTACAATACAACAGACTTTTGTACCCAGACCCTAAAAAACGTATCAAATATGTTGTTTTTTTAGTACAGGTTGACAGCCATGTGCTTAGCCATACCCAAAAAAATACAGACAGAATTAGTCGTGATAGGAGCTTTTTCTTGACCTGAGTCATAAAAGAAAAATATTACAAATTAAATATATATATGTGGAAGTGGAGGTCCATGATCGCCCACGCCAGTCGGCAAGGCACTGGATGATGATGATGATATATATGTGACCCCTTTTCCTACTTTGTAGAACCCAGTATCTCCAGGCAGCCACATTCCAGTTTCAGAGCTATTGCATTTTGTACTGACTAGAGTATTTTCAATTTTAGTAGAGATTAATTTTGAATTTTGTATTAATGGATGAAGACCCAACTTATCGATTTTAGTACCACAATCAATACCAAGGCGAGGTTGATGGAGAAAGTGCAATGGAGATGACAGCCGATGACAGAGCATAACTAGTGAACAGGAAAGGAGGTGAAAGGAGAAAATTAAAGAGAAGAAAATTGTTTCGTCCTTGTCAGGTTTCAAACCAAGGACCTTTTGAATGTGAGGCAAACACCAAACCTCTAGACCGTGTGAGCCCCCC